ATAACGAAGTTTTGTAAAAAAAAATATGTTGTTTGGTGCTAACTTAGTTTTTTCCTAGCGCGTGTTCGGTATAGCTTAATTTACGTACTATGAAGTCATTGCATCACTTTCATTTTGACACTCCCTCAGTCGTCCGTGAGCTTCACCGACAAAGGAATAAGACGACGCCTCCGAAACTACGATTCATTTTCAATTTACGGTATCCTCTTAAAGCTGCTGTGTTTCTTACCATACCATACATACCATACCATACCATACATACATACGTATGGTATGTATGGTATGTACTAAGTACCTTTTGGAAATTTGTCGAGTGACAACACACTTGCATTTTGATTCTTAATCAAGGATGGATGTAGATATCTGTGGGTCTCAACATCCACATACCGTCAAGTGGACTGTCTGTCACCAGTATCCTATAAAAAAATAATTTAAGGGATTACTTCTCAAATTGTCTATAACCAAATTAAAAGCGGGTATTTTCGTTTTCAAATCCAAACAATAACTTTTTTTACAAGAGAGCTTCTATAATAAAATGTGATGGAGTTTGTACGACGTTACCAATGGCAGAACAACGAGAATATGTTGTGATACATTTGGGGTTTAGTACGGGAAAATCTATACAAACATAAGAAAATCACTGAATATATTAATTTTTGAACTGGATTTATTATTGAATAAAACTATTATTTACGGAATTTATCACGTTTAATTACTTTAACTTATTTTTATTATCCCGACGTTTCCGTAAATAAAATCCGTAAATAATAGTTTTATTAAATGTGTAGTGTTCGCGTAAATTTAAGAAATCATTATGGATTTATTATTATTTTATATTTGTATGCTATTATTAATCATTATTATTGAATTAAAAAGTCTGATCTTCAGCTATATAATGTCTGACACAGTTTATATTAAATTATGAGAAACAACTCATTAATTTTAAAATTTGAAAAATTGCTCTTGTTTCTACAAAAGCAAACTGATCAAAAACATTATTTTTCTCTTCATTAGTAATGTAGAAGAAACCAAAGTTTTACTTTCAGAAGTCAGACCCAGAAATCGTGTCGACAGGTGTAATCTTTCGTTTACCAGATCTCGCTTTAATTGAGAAGTTAGTTTTAAATATGTATAAGTTTTATCAGTTTAGTTTAGTTCAGTTTAGATTAGTTGTTTTGCTCTTAAGTTTTATAAACATTTTAATATTTTTTAATTTTCCTAGTTTTATGAATATTTCTTTGATTTGGTTTATTTATTTTTATTCTTATTAATATAAATTTAAAAACATTAACCTTTACACTTTTCGAACAAATTAACTTCCCTGCTATGAAATCTGTCAAATATTACACCTTATTTTTAAGTTGCGCTTCCCTGGTTGCAGAAAATGTCGTGGAATAAAATTACAACTATATTATATTATACAGCTTCACTAGAAATATTATGATAATATATAATTTGAAATAAAAATTAGTATAGCATAATAAAATAGAAAAATAAAATTTGCCATTTGTCAATTTTGTAAAAATAATATGTTCCTATTCCTTTGTATTATTTTAACGTATTATAAGACAGTAAGAATAATCAAAATAACAGTTTGCATTGTGGTACATTTCTACATTTTATCAGATTCATCCATAAAAATACCAGCTAAAGTCCTTTCAGTCTATTTGCATCGTTGTTTCCTTTCAACCAATAGATGGCGTCAGTCGTATTTTATAACGCGATATGGTTTACCTATTTTAAATAAAACTAGATCCGTGGCGTATTGAAGTTCTATGTTCAGCAGTGGACTTTATAAGTAAAGTCTACTTATATACTTTTTGTATAATTCGTTTCACATGACAGTGTTAAACGAATTGATAATAATTTGATAATATTTAGTAGCGGTGGGTAGTAGCGGCTTTTTTGAGTAACGAAACGAAACTATCTATCGAATATCAATAGCGGCTTTTGAAACACTCTATTTTAATAGAGGGTTTTGAAACACTCTATTTTAATAGCGGCTTCAATAGAGTGTTTCACGACGTGTTCAATTGAAAAACGTTGCGACCGTTGTTACCGTTTCGTATAGAATTAGCCATGGTGCTAATGGTTAAATTTATTTATTTGTTAAATCAGTTCGCACGGTTTGATAAAAATATCACTTGAAAAGTACACTGGCATTACTTCGAGACATTTTTGATAACTATCACATAAAGTTTTAGTATTATTTTTACACTTAGTTACACTAATCACCGTACAATTATTATTATTATTAACACTGATATATACAATTGTATTTAGTTCTTATTTTACTAAAAATATTATTATTATTAACAAACGCGCCTAAAAAGTAAAAACAAACCGTGTCATTAAACCTAAACACAAGACTAATTTAAACCGGGCCAAGGCCATTTAAATTATGGTATTTGAACTATTTTTTGTTAAAAACATGTACACTCACTTTCTCATTTCTAATATCGCATCTATACGAAGGGAATAGAGTCATAGGTCAAATGCAAAAGCACCCGCGCTCACTCGACATTCGACGACCGGTGGTACTTCTACCACAGCGTAAAGAGTCGGTTTCTTTACTCATGTGTTTCTACTTCAACAGCCGAAGCCGTCGCCGATGCGTCGCGAAAATAGCCGAATAAACGTTTTGTTACTGATCGCTCGTTCGTAATTCGTGAAACGTGAGTCGTGTTACTGAGTAAAACGTCTACTGTAATAGATAGTTTCGTTGCACTGCAATAACCCGCTACCCGCTATTGTGTGAATAGATAGTTTCAGTAACTAGTTACGTTTTGTAACGACCACTCCTAATATTTAGCACTAGACGTGGGTCGTTACGTCATTTTCAAGAAACGTAACGAAACCAGTGACTTGATCGGCGTCACCTGTTTCAAAACTAGTGCTTTTTGTTACTGGCTATTTTTATTCGGCTACTGTGATTGTTAGCATAAATATCACCACCAACTATACAGTTACACACGAAACGAAAATAAAATCACAATCTATGTTTGTAGCTATACAGTAACTGTATACTGTTAAATCAATAAATTAACTTCCCTTCATATTTTATTCTGGTTTAGGACTGACTGCATCAAATGTATTTATGATTGATTTGCGTTTACTATGACACTAAGATTTTCATAAAATTATTAATGCAGGCATATTTACAAGTCAATTTGATTGTATATACAATGATTCTTGATATTTACAGTTTATTTACACTTTTTCAACGTTTTCACTATCATTTGTTTTTGCACTTTTATTTACACTGTACAATTAATTTGTTTGTTTGTTTGGTTATTTACACACAGTTTTTAAGTTTTATATTATTATAAACATTTAAATTTTTTATACACATTTTTTAGTTTTATTTTAATTTTATGAATAAACGAGTTCATGACTCCGTCAAAATTGTTTTAAAAATTATTTTAGTTAAATTCAATGTGACTCGCTTCCTGGAATCGCAAACCGCTGAAATTATTTATAAACAGAGATTACTCTATTTTATTATCTATGTCTATAATCTTACGTATGAAAATTAAACGTACAGTAATACTGTTACTTACGATGTTTTGTTTATTGTTGTATGCCACATGTGCGCTTTGCGCTCGACTGACCGACAGTCGACTCCCGCAATAATCATTGTTAACAGTAATCATAATCACGAATTTACAAAAATCACTACTTGTAACATGACTCGAAACTAGTGATTCGGTTATATGCCGCGTAGCCAGTTACTGTATCTAGTGACGTGAAATAACGCCCACGTCTATTTAGCACTAGTTTGAAATCAGATACCGAATACCGATATAAGTGGTTAAAGACTTGTTACTAGAGATGATCGATGTATCAGAAACATCGATGTTCGATGTTTATTATGTTCATAACATGGATGTTGGCCATTACCGATGTTTGTTTTGCACGTGAACTTATTTAATAGGTGACATATAAAAATATAGTCATGTAGTTATAGTTTATGGTTTAGTGTCAGAAATTTAAAAATGGGAAGAAGTTAACAAATATTTAGTTCATTTCTTATAATATTATAGTCTATCTTGATTTTTAAATGTTCTACACGTTCACAAATCTGGTGTGAAAAAATTTACTATGGGACCTAATTTACGACTTGGACTTAGTTTTTAAATCAACTACTTATATCGCGAAAAAGAGAGCGCAAGAGCCATGCTGCAGTTATATTAGTAGTATAATTGTAGCACGAATAGGTCGGCTCGACCGGGGAAGGACGCTGGGGCCCATAGACATCTACATCTATCCTCGATTACGAACCAAATTGCAGATCCGTTTTCACCCGTGAAGACTAAGATGGAATTCCTCTTTTCCCGTAAAAAGGGTCTCCGGTTCTCTACACTCACCATACGAAACATAGCAGCATTAAGCTGCTATTTTACGCTGGTATTCCGTGAGAGCGTGGTCCTTCTCCGGTCGAGCCGACCCATCCGTGCTAAAACTATACTACTAATATAACTGCAGCATGGCTCTACCACGTATATAGTCTATCTAACAAACTTTCTTTCACTTACTTGAATGAATTGATTCTCCTGCAGTAAATCATTTTCGGTTACATCTGCTTTGAAAACGTGCCTCTACATGCTCGCTGTAATGAATCTTTTTCAACAGACTTCAAAAAAAGGGGGAAGTTCTCAAATCGACCGTATTTTTCTTATGTGTTACTTGAAAACGTTTTTCTAGGTGAACTGATTTTGATGACTCTTTATTTATTTGAGAGCTGGTTCTTCTCATGGCGGCTCATATACATTTGATCAAGATCTGACCAGTAGTTTTTGAGTTATCGTGATCGTGTCTATGTCTATGGGGCACAGCATCCGATCAGCATCAGTGGAGTGTGTGGTCGTTTGGCCCCCTTATTCTATAAAAATATAACTTCATTTGAACTATTATTATATATAATATTGATCATGCAACAGCATTGGGACAGGAGACTGTAAATATACTTTTTTTTTAAACAATGCTTCCCTTTTTTCCAGCTGCCGTTATGCAGAGCCATGCAGAATCCGGTGAAATGAAAAGGAAGCGAGGTCGTCCGAGAGTCGACAAGACCAGTCCAGAGTATCTGGCCAGGAAGAGGAACAGAGAAATAGGTACCATTGAAAGCATCATCATTTCATTTATTATCATTAAACTGTCTACCAAAGTCCACTGCTAAACCTAGATCCAGTCCATAGACTAATAAAAGTATCATTATTGTCATTCATTAATATAATGATCCGTAGTAACTCCGTAGTCCACTGTTGCATATATATACGCCTAGCCCGTATATTGCTTCATAGAGGGGATAGATGGGACACGTGTCGTAGTTATGCAAGTGCAGTATTTTTTATTGTTATTAGGGAGAGTTATATTAATCGTATAGTTGTAGCACGAATGGGTCGGCTCGACCACGCTCTCACAGAATATCAGCGTCAAATAACAGCTTAATGTTGCTGTGTTTCGTATGGTGAGTATAGAGAACGGGAGACCCTTTTACTGGAAACGAGGCATTCCATCTTAGTCTATCTAGTCTCTTAGTGATTCTTAGATGATTCGTAATCGAGGATAAATGTAGATGTCTATGGGCCACAGCAACCACTTACCATCAGGTGGAATGTGTGCTCATATGTCACTCTAACCTACAAAAAAAAAACTACATCAGTGGGGGGCCGCCCTTTACTTGGCTAACCGATACGAGGCTGTCACTCGAGAACCTTTTTCCCCATCGGTTTTCATGGGGTGTATATTGCCGTAGCTGCCACGCTTGGCGAGCGGGCGGGTCCTCCCTTATACGTCTACGTAAATAAAGATCCCAATGTGTTTCACCATATTCGAGTATTTTTGAATATATATTCCACCATCCGACTTCAGTCAGAAAATACATCTTATTTTACACACATTTCATAACCAGCCTTACCCCCTTAGATTTGTCTTTTGCTCCCTTTTTCTTTGCTAATTTTGTTTTATTTATTTTTTCTCCCACAGAAGCGCTAGAGAGGAAAGCGAAAAGAGAATACAGGAGACGTGCGACTGGAGGTGAGACTTCTATTCGTTCTCATTTTCTCTTTCTACCCTGCTTGATTTCCAGCATGTTGTCCTCAGCTATATCATTAATTGTCTATTCATATCTCATAAGATAAAATACATTTTATATTTTATACAATATGCCGGGATATGGTGTGGATGGTCGATTGTTAAGGGCTGTGCAGTCACTTTACTATGACTGTAAAGCCTGTGTGCGGGTAGTGCATGACCTGTCACCCATGTTTAGCGTCCAAGCGGGCGTAAAACAGGGTTGTGTCATGTCTTCCTGGCTGTTCATACTGTATCTCGACAGCTGTTTACAGAAGCTGAAAAATAGCTGTTTGGGTGTGAAATTGGGTGACATAAAAGTTAATTGTCTGCTGTATGCTGATGATGCAGTGCTTATTGCACCATCAGAAGCAGAACTGCAGGCATTAGTCACGTGTATGAAAGAGGAATGTGAAATTAAAGGTCTCCGTTTGAATGCTAATAAAACTAAGGTTCTGGTATTTGAAAAGGACGAAGAGAGAACGAAATGTGAAATATGGGTAAATCAGGAATGTCTAGAACAGGTAAATGAAATTGTATACTTGGGGAGTGCTTTCAGCCGGGATGGAAGATGTGATTTAGATGTGGATAGGCGCGTCGCTGCCGGAAACAAAGTCAATGGTGCCCTGAATGCATTAGTAAAAAGGCAAGGCGTGGTGAAGAGTGCACGCCTTGCAATACATAACGCAGTGTTGGTACCGATTTTGTTATATGGCAGCGAAACCTGGGTATGCCAGAAGAAGCATAAAAGCAAGTTGAATGCAGTGGAGATGCGATCTCTTCGTAAAAGGTGTGGCGTTACCATAGCCGACCGAAAGCGAAACGAAGAGATTCGTAATATGGCAAGATTGAAAGATGACCTTATCACAAAAATTGATAGGGGCGTACTCCAATGGTTTGGGCACGTTGAACGAATGAGTGAAGACCGAATGGTGAAGAAAATATATAGAGCGAAAGTAAATATTAAAAGGTGTCGAGGTAGACCGAGACTAACTTTCGAAGACCATGTGAGCAAATTGCTCGAAGAGGGGAGGGTCAAGAGTACTCGGATACCTAGACGTGCATGTATGAAGAAGTTAATGAACCTGAAAGAAGCGAAAGAGGTATGTAAGGATCGTGGCACTTGGCGATCCGTTCTCTCTGGCTACCCCGTTAGGGATTGTGCGTGAAGATAAAAAAAAATATTTTATACAATACAATGAATATAGGTATAGTTATTCAATTTCACAATGAAGGTTTGACTTTGGTTGTTGTTATCCGTGCACGTACACATTGTGCTAGTGTGCGTAGGCCTCGGGGGCGCTCAGTCACGATCGCAAGACGAACGAATCGCTGTTACACATAGGGTTGCCATCTTTTTTTTGAATAAATATAGTACTTTTCCCAAAAAAGATGCAAAAATATAGTACTTTCAGAAATTCAGGAGAAAAGAAGTACTCATTTATTTTTAATCTATGTATTTTTCCATATATATTTGTTATTGCTCTTTGCTTTGGCCATCAATGATTTTATTACTTTTAAAATAATTACAGGAATATGAGCAATTTATACTCATATTAAAATAAACTAACAATTAATTTTTAATAAATTAATACATGCTCTATTTCTTTCTTTCAATTTTAAATATATAGTGAAAAAAATTCTCTCCGTCAAACTTACTTGTTCCAGACTTCCAATCACAGTTAATATAAAATAGCGCGACAGTTGAATTAGGAATAAGATATGGTGTTTGTAATACTGTATTATTTTTCTATAATATGTAGTACAATTGACTGAAATATAGTACGATACTATATATTAAAGTACGGGTGGCGACCTTAGTTACACATACAAACGCGCCTGTCGGTACACGTCACTACTACAACCAAAGAGAAACCTTCATCGTGATATGGAATAACTAAAACAGAATGTTGGAAAAGGCGTGCAAGCTTGTGAAAAAGAGGGGTGGCGGTGTTTTTCGCGTTTTTTTTACTCTTTTTTAAAAAAGGGGGTTGTTTCCTAAGATCTGCTGCGTTGTTTTTGAAGAGTTGACTTGATCAGTGCAGACTGCGACAAATTTTATAAGGAGACTAGCAAAAGTATAAGTCATTACGTTAATTTGATCAATTTACGTAAATATGTAATTCATGGTGTTCAAACTGACATATAAAATTTTTAGATTTGTATTTTAAGCACTTTCAATTGCACATACAAAATTATACATTTTTTACGCGGTAGAGCCATGCTGCAGTTATATTAGTAGTATAGTTGTAGCACGAATGGGTCGGCTCGACCGGGGAAGGACCACGATCTCACAGAATACCAGCGTCAAATAGTAGCTTAATGCTGCTGTGTTCCGTATGGTGAGTGTAGAGAACCGGAGACGCTTTTTTTATTGGAAACGAGGCATTCCATCTTAGTCCTCACGGGTGACAACGCATCTGCATTTTGATTCTTAATCGAGGATAGATGTAGATGTCTATGGGCCACAGCAACAACTTACCATCAGGTGGACTGTGTGCTCGCTTGTCACCCTATCCTATTAAAAAAAAACGTATAAAGACATCATGCAATTGTCCATTTCTCTTGCGGTTTTACGATCGAAGTATTGTCATCATCATAACAGGTCGAGACTTAAAAAATATTGAACGCTATAAAATTCGTTAAAGTAGTTTTGTCTGATAATTAGAAAAACAGCTCGTAGTTGTACTTAAACAGTGACTTGAGTGAGTGTTATATATTTGGAAAACTTTTTGGTGTGTTTAAATAATGGTTTGAAGTGGATTTTATATTGATATTGCGATTTTTCGTTTTAAGTGTCTGTGTATGTGCACTGTAAGCGTTAACAACGAAACAAATGCTCCGATGTCACAGACCACCCCGCCTGCGACACATGAAACCATTACGATTCTCTAATTTATTTTAATATTAAATTAGTCTGTCAAGGTTGGAAGAAAGAAAAGTGTGCGGGCGGCGCGGGACACGTAACTTACAGATGTGCACATCTACAACACGTAACATAATTAACGCACTTTGAGAAAGTAGTTTGTTCAGAATCGTTTACTGAATCGATTCCTATCATTTTTAATATAGGTAATTTTTTATCCCAAAAATAATTAAAACTACGTAAATTACAGACACACTAAATCTGCACAGTCGAAACAAACTGAAATGAACCGTTACTTAAGGCAATAAGACTTTTAAGAGTGCAGTTTTATTTGTGTTATTACTAATTCTGTCATTCAATTGAAAATAAACAAAAATGAACTTTATTTCAAGCACGTTAAAGTCTTTGTGTTCGTGGGTTTGTACTGTGATCACAACATTCTTCCGGAATTAGTATAACTAATTTGATAAATAATCAGTGCATAAAAATGTTTAACTAAAAATTCAGTGTATGTATTATGATTATAACATAATATACTAATTGGGGTGTCTGAGGGTGTGAGTTAATTACGGTACATATTGTATATATCGTACGCGTAGATATGGGAGACTATGAAAACGTAACGTAAGTATGGTTAGTAAATCATAGTCACAATATTAGTTAGTTCTTCACCTAAGTAACATAATCAACATTTCGCAATGTATTTTTTTACTTTCTATTGACATCCCTTAAGAACCACGGAAAGTCCGCCGTGACAAAAAATATGCAAAGTAATATGGACGCTAGCGCGCAGCGATAAAGTTTTATTTAGCTTGCGTGTGCCATTTATCTGATTAATAATAATTATGCAGGCTATTAAACGTCTGTAAGCAGTCGACATCAAAGAAGTGCAACTTCTGTACGTAGTACTATTATTTATTCTGTGACCTTAGCAATTTGAGACACTGTCGTCATTAACTGTCTGATGACCATTTATGTCGTCGAAGTCTTTTTTATTAAAGCTTTTTCATCGCCGTGCAAAATGCCCTTCGTCCTGCTTTTGTACGATATTTGTGAGCAGAAACAAAGGAAGTCTTTATAGTTTTTGAATCAGTCTTTCCAAATTAGTGAACTAAAACCTATCTTCTCACATATATTAACTATCTACATAATATAAGATAAGCATATCAAAATAAGACCAGTTATATACAAACTGTTTAAAATATCTCAAAAGTGATCACTAACTAACGCTATTAAAATACACACAACAATGTCGACCATTCATGGAGAGGAATTTGATTACTTTTTTCCTTTGAGATTAGGACATATGTGCAAAGTAAGGCCGGTGACACTACAAAACTACTTTTTAAGAGTACCGCATAGAATATAAATTGATTCCGCGAAGATAATTTTTCTTGGCAACTTCCACAATCTGATATAGGCCATCTACATCGATGAAAAGGAGTTAGAATGTGTTCAAGTATAGCTTAACCGCAATACTATTGTATATCAAAATAGAGAAATATTGTGGTACCAGATTATGAGTATATAACTTTGTTGCGAAAGAAAGTTATGAAATAGTTAGTTACAAATCCGCCTCCAAATTAAGAGTAATAGAGGTTTACTAAAGTTGAGGTTTTTGAACTTCCGCCTTGCCGATTTTAAAGCACGGCCATTATTTTCGAATAAAAATTGTAAAAGTTCTTATTACTTGATGCTGACGGAAGCGCAACCATGAGGCCTTTATCAAACAATATTATTGTCAATGATGAATTTATAATACATCGGATTACATATGGAAATTCGAAACAAATTAACAACCGCCGTTAACTTAAAGAGAACGTGTGTAAAAAATTTTGCAATTATATTCTCAATTAAAAAAAGAGATCTATTAAGAAAGAATACACTTATAATTTTTTATCTGGGACACGTTATGGTTTCTTGTACACACTGTACACTTGATAATGGCGCTCTAAAATTGCTTGCATTTCAGGTTGATTAGTAGTGTTACGAGCTTGACTTTTATTAGTTCGAGGCTGTTATGAAGGCGAACGGCTGGAATAAAAGTCAAGCTCGTAACAGTAGGAAGGAAATGGTGATTAACAAAAAATAGTTTATT